GCCTGTGCCCGTGCAGCCCCTCCGGGTACTGCTCTGCTCTTTGCGGTGCCCGTGGGCACGGCCCGGCCCCCCGTGGCACAGCCGCTTTCCTGCCCGCACCCTTCGGCTGCTGTGCCTGTCCCCACGTGCCTATCCCGGCCGTGCCCTCCTGTGCCGGCGGTCCCCATGCGTGAGTGTCCCCAGGACGTGCCCTCCCGTGGCTGCTGTCCTGTGTTGTGAGCGTCCCCGGGCCGTGCCCTCCTGCGCCACTCCGGGCTGTGTCCTGCCGGGTCCTGCTCGATGCCGTGAGCTTCTTCTCAGCAGTGCCCTCCTCCTGCCAGCTCGTGGCCGTCGCTCTCCGCTTCCCCAAAGGCGCCCGCCCGGCTCAGCCTACGTCCATCACCGTGATCTCCCTTCCTTCCCCCCCCGCCTCCGCGTCCGTGTCTGTTTGTCTTTCCAGCCCCACTCCTCGCCGGCTAGTCATGGGGTGTTGACTCTGCGCATTCCTTCCCAGCCGAGCCCGCCGCCGCCGGTCATTAGGCGGGGCTGACACGCTGCTGTCCCCACTCCGGGGCCGCTGTGCTGGGCTCCAGCTGCTGATAACTTCGGGGACTTTGAGGAGGGGGGAAAGGTGACCTTGGGTGACTGGCACCACTCGGGAACGGAGGTGCGGATTAACACCGGTCCCAGCTTGGGGATAAAAGCATCGACGTCTGCCCAGGTCCTGGCTCTCCCCAGGCAGCTCGAGGACTCACTCTGATCCCTCCTGCACCATGGCATTGGTGTGGTCCTGCTGGCTCCTCCTGCTGCTCCTGCCTGCCCTGGCCCACACTGGGGGGCCTGGCCCTGTCCTTGTCAACCGCCCCTTCGTCACCGTCTGGAACATCCCCACGGAGCGCTGTGCCGAGAAGTACAATGTCACCCTCAACCTGGAGGTCTTTGATGTGTTGGCCAACGACCAGCAGAACTTCACCGGGCAGGACATCACCCTCTTCTACAGCGACAAGTTGGGTCTCCTCCCCTACTACACGTCTGAGGGGGTGCCAGTGAATGGGGGGCTCCCCCAAAATGCCAGCCTGGAGGCTCACCTCCAGCAGGCCACCCAGGACATCAAGGTGACCCTGCCCAGCCCTGACTACAGTGGGCTGGCTGTCATTGACTGGGAGAAGTGGCACCCGCTGTGGATCCGCAACTGGGATTCCATGAAGATCTACCAGGAGAAGTCGGAGGAGCTGGTGCAGCAGCAGCACCCGCAGTGGCCCCCCAAGGAGGTGGAAGAGGTGGCCAAACAGCAGTTTGAGGAGAGCGCCCGCAATTTCATGAGTGAGACCCTGTGGCTGGGCGAGAGCCTCCGTTCCAATGCCTACTGGGGTTTCTATGGTTTCCCCAACTGCTACAACAACCACTTTGACAGCCTGCCCTACAATGGGACATGCCCAGAGGTGGAGCAGCAGAGGAACAGGAATCTGTCCTGGCTCTGGAAGAGCAGCCGGGCACTCTACCCCAATATCTACCTGCCCCTCTCCCTCAATGGCACTGACAAGGTGCTCCCCTACGTCCGGCACCGCGTGGCTGAAGCTTTCGCTGTCCAGCGTGGTGTTCTTGACAGCGGCATCCCCGTCCTGCCCTACTCTCAGATTGCCTTCGAGCTCACTGTTGACTTCCTTTCCCAGGTAATGGGGATGTGGGGATACCGAACAGGGGTTAGCACTGGGAGTCTTTAGCTCTGCTGGGGCTGTGTGGGGGCTTTGGACACCACTGACTTCTCCTCTCCTCATGGGTGCAGGAGGACCTGATGAACACCATCGGGGAGAGCGCAGCTCAGGGTGCTGCTGGCATCATCCTCTGGGGCAGCCTCAACTACAGCGCCTCCAAGGTGAGTGCAGAGGGTGGCACCACATCCCTGCCAGCAGGGACCCCCAGTTCCTCAACTGTGCAGGGCTGTGACACCACATGCCATTGCAGGAGATGTGCCTGAGACTGAAGGACTACGTGGAGGGACCTCTGGGCCACTACATCATCAATGTGACGGCCAGTGCCAACCTGTGCAGCCAGAGCCTGTGCTCCGGCCACGGGCGCTGTGTGCGCCAGGAGAACAAGCAGGCCTTCCTCCACCTCGACCCCTTCCACTTCACCATCGATCTGCACGCTGCCAAGCCCTGGCTGGTGGCTCAGAGCCTGGAGTCTGGTAATGATGTCTCCCAGCTGGAAAAGGAGTTCAGCTGCCAGTGCTACAATGAGTGGCAGGGACCGCGCTGTGACACCCAGGGCTTCTCCAAGTGACCCGCCCCAAGGACAGCAGGTTTGATAGGGTGACCCTACCTTGTGCCCCAGCACTCTCACCATGGGGTTGGGAGCCTGGCTGTGGGGCTGTTAATAAAACCAGAAAGCACCCACAAGTGTGTCTCCTTGTCTTCTGCTGCAGCACATTTTGGGGTGGGAGGGTCCCCCAGCAACACCAGTGGTGCCTAGTGATGCTGCCAAGGGCTGCACTTTGGGATGGGGATTTGAGGGTATAATGCCTCAGAGAAACCACCAAAAAAAACAGAAGAAAATTTATGGCAAAAGACATAAGAAAGGAGATGACAGGGCAAGAGGATGAGAAATGGGGAGTGGCCAGAGAGTAGAGGTGATGGGAGTGAAAAGATGTGCCTGTGTGGCTGTAGCTGGAGAAGTGTGTTCTCCAACTCCTCATCAGGCAGAGAGGAGTGGAGTGAAACCTGTGCCCCCACTTTGATTTTCCCCTGGATTACCATATGCAAACCAGTTCAGCCCTCAAATGATATGCAAAACCACCCATTTCTGTAACCCAGGACACTGACTCAGCCATACCTATTTTAAAGCAGTTGGGAAAAGGCATGAAACACTGAATTCCCAGTCCAGCTGAGATAAAGATGTTGGCATCTTCATCTGAATGTTCAGCTTGGGGTGGGGGAATCATACTCAGTTCTCTGTTCTTAGGCCCTAATTCAGGTAAACTCTATCCATGTTGGGACTGTGTGTTTACTGTTCCCAAACATCTGTTCTCAAGATGCTCTGTCCAGGGCACAAATTTCTTTCAAAAAGCAGTTACTAACCAATGTCCTGTCAAGAACAACTTGGGTTGTGAAGGCCCCCATCACTCGTATGGACCCTGTCAATGATAACCAATATTTGATTTCTGCAGACTTACTACAGCCAGCCTGTTCATTTCTTATTATTACCTTGAGGAGTATCTGAGAATATGCCACTGGAGACATAATTAGACCTTTGGATTCCCCAGTCAGAGCTTTCAGAAACATGCACTGGGTTATTGCCAAGCTCTTTGCCAAGCTGGGGGCCCTTGAAAAAAAATTAGTCATAATTGGATTTTGGCCCAGAATTAATTGTTTTATCTAATTCTTATAGAGATAGCTTGGTAAATGTTGGGTGTAAATGTTGGAAACAATATTATCTTAGTATTTTTTATGTGGAATGTGATTTAACTTAGTGAACACTCAAACATGCTCCTCCCAAGTTTCAGGGAATCTGATATTTGCCCTCTATTAACTGCTGAAACTGAAAGCAAAGTTCACCTTGCTATTCACACAAAGAAAATTACCATGAATTTCAAGTCCTCTTTATGCCTGGAAGGGATTGGAGCTGTGTGCTTGTAACTTCAAGTAATTTAATATGCTTTAAGTCTTCAGGTACTGAATATTTAGTGCATACTTTGGGGCTGGTTTGGGGTTCTCCTGGGCACAGTATTATCTCAATTCATTAACTGAGCTAAGCATTGGGGTGGGCATGAGGAAAGAGATGTTTCAGAAGCCACAGGAGCCCTGCAGAAACCCTGTCTCTAGGTGTGGGTTTGCATCTTGCCTTAAAGAAAAGTGAGGCTGGAAACTCGGGCCAGCTCTTTCTCTTGCTGTTTAAATAATGCAAGCCTGGGCATGAATACAGTTTGTTGTTTTCAAATAATAGTTTGAAATGTGTAAGAGGATTTGTTTTATTCATCCTGCTTATTGTAGCTATTCCTCTGTCCTTGCCTCTTACAGCATATCTAAAGACACCCAAGACACTGGATTTCATGTAATCTAGCTTGTCTTGCTCCAGACTCTGAGGAATAGAGACTAGAAAGATACTGCACATGGTGCCAGCAGGCAACTTGGAAGCACTGAACATCTGCTGGCTTGTTTTTTTCCAGGTCTGAGAACCACACTACGCCTTGTACACGGGTAGTGCTCTGCAAATCCACGGCAGTGCCGGAGCGAGCCCACGCTGGATGGGAGTGTGCTGGAGGGGGGCCAGCAGCAATCCACAGGCCTTTGTGTGCTTCACATTTCTGGCTGCTCCACATCTCTTGGGTGGGATATGGTGCTGTCATGGCAGCTCCTGTTTTCTGTGCTCAGGATGAGTGAGAAACCTGCTGTGTGCAGAGCTCGCTCGTCCACTGTGTTATGGGGTTCACACTAAATGGATTTC